GAACACTTGGGGCTTGAACTTGCCCGATTATTAGATTCTTGGCACTGGAGGCTGTGGCTTAACCTGCTCCACTATACTGTTGGCCTCAATTTTCAGTGTATGTATGGTGCTTGTATTTTGTAAGACATTTATTCATTTTTTCTAAACAATACAATTTGTTGCAATAAAATTATTTCTAATGTCATTCCTTTCAGATTTGTAATGTCTTATATTTAAATTTATCACATTGATAATCTGTTCTCTTTTATCCTTGATAAATGTCATAGGGAAATCGTTACCTCTTGGGGGATCAAGTTTTGTCCTTTTTTTCTGTTCTTTGTCTATTTTCTATTTTATTTCTATTCTTTGTTATCTTCCAGCTGCTAGGTTTGTTAATCTGCTTTTCTTTTGTTGCATGCATTTAGATTAGTTAATTCTTTTTTCGTTTTTAAGTTTTATTTATTTGAATGACAGAGTGGTAGAGAACTAGAGGCAGAGAGAAACAGACCTCGTTTTCTCAATGACTCCCCAAATGGCCACAGCAATGAAGACCAAGTCCCACCTAAGCTGAGAGCCTGGAACTCCATCTAGGGTATTCCACATGGCTGTGAATGGTCCATATACTTGAGCTATCATTAGCTGCTTTTCTGAGTGTATTAGTAGGGAGCTGTAAGGGAAGCAAAGCAGCCAGGGCTGGAACCAGCACACCCAGAAGGCACAAGACATCACAACAGTGGCTTAACTGCTGCATTGCAGTGCTGGCCCTTGGTTCTATTTTAAAGATTCATTAATTTAGTTGAAAGCAGAGTGATGGAGGAGGACAGGAAGATACCATTTTTCCCCCTAATATAGCCATTTAGAACAATACATTAGATAATTCCATTATCTGGTTAATAGATCTGTTTGTATTGGCTGTTTTTATCTGCTGGTTACATTTCTGGTTTTACTATGATTCTCGTATGCCTCATGCTTTATTTTGAGTTCTGTGTACAAAATGATAATGGGGTCAGGTAGCCTCGTGGCTAAAGTCCTCACCTTTCATGCACCAGGATCTCATATGGGCTCAGATTCATGTCTCGGTGGACCTGCTTCCCATCCAGCTTCCTGTTTGTGGCCTGGGAAAGCAAAAGTGGAATCCCTAAGCCTTGGGACCCTGTACCCACCTGGGAGACCCAGAATAAGCTCCTAGTTCCTGGCTTCAGATTGGCTGAGCTCCAGTTGTCGTGGCCATTTTGGGAGTGAATAAGCAGACAGATTTTTCTTTCTGTTGCTCCTTCTCTCTGTATAGCTGACTTTCCAATAAAAATAAGTAAATCTTTACAAAACAAATACTAGAGAATGCACCATGTATTTTTTCTTAGAAATACAATCACTGTTGTTGATATAAAAAGGAGCTTGTCTGTTTCCTATAATTTATAGGAGTTGTGGATGGGTGATGATTGGGTGGTTAGGTGAATTATCAGATCATCTAAGATCAGTCCCTTGTTTTATTGTGGCATCCAAGTATGGTAAGACTACAGTATACCTCATTGCTTTCCAGCCTGACCCAAGGCTTTCTGTGCTGCCATGTATACTAAACTAAAGGTGTGCATTAGAATTGACTGATGAAGAGGACAAGCTCAGGGCTTTGAAGATCCTCACATTCCCCTTCCTAGTTCATGACCAATAAAATCTGAGTTGGCTTTTGCATTAGTCTGTTTCCTGTTTCAGTAGTAAAGTACCCAAAGACTAGGTAACTTAGTAAGGAAAAGAGGTTTGTGGTCCCTACAGTTCTGGGAGCTGAAATGGTGCTGGGTCTGGTGTGGACACCATGGCTGCATTGTCCCATGGCATAAGCCATCATAGCAGGAGTGAGAGCACTTCATGAAAGTCAGACAGTAGGAAGAACTTGTGACATCCTCCCATTTTCATCCCCCTTGCCCCCCTTTGGATTTTTTTATTGGGAAGGCAAGTTAAATTTACAGAAAGATCTTTCTGGTTCACTCCTTCAATGGTTGCAATGGCTAGAGCTGAGCTAATCTGAAGCAAGGAGCCAGGAACTTCTGGGTCTCCCATATGGGTTCAGGGTCCCAAGGCTTTGGACAATCCTCTTCTGGTTTTCCAGGCCACAAGCAGGGAGCTGAATGGGAAGTAGAGCAGTCAGGACATGGACTGTTAACCATATGGGATCTTGGCATGTGCAAGGAAAGGATTGAGCCATTGAGCCATTGCACTGGGCTTGCATTTTCATATCTTAAAAGCCCTGCTACCCCTTAACATTGCTGCACTTGGAGCCCGGCTAACACATAAGGTCTTTAGAGGAAAAACCGTAAGTATTTCTGCTTTAGCAGTTTCTCCTAGCTGTGAAAGTGTTACCATACATCACTTTACCTAAGATGAGTTCATGTTTCTATTAATTTAGATATATTTCTACTTATAGCTCTATTGAGCCAGCATTGTGTTGTAGTAGGGTAAGCCACCAATTGTGATGCTGACATTCTTTATGGGCCCTGGAGTCTAGCTCCCTCCTAATGTGCGTAGGAAAGCAGCGGAAAGTGGCCCGTGTGGCAGGGCCCCTGGCTTTCACTTGCCTTGATCCTGGTCGTTTTGGCTATTTAGGGAGCAGATCAGCTGATGGGAGAGATCTCTCTGTATCTCCCTCTCTTCAACTCTGCCATCCAAATGAATACATTTTAAAGAGAGAAAATAGGGTGGTGTTCAGGCATATGGGAACTATTTTATTTTGCCTTGAACCTAAAACAAAAGTCCATTTAAAAAAAATGTTTTAATGAGATCAGTGTCACTCTGAAAGCTGTGTCAGAACAGATTTAAAATCTGGTGGAAATATTTACAAATGGCTGACCAATAGAAGAACTTATTTCTAAAGTTAAAATTTTATAATATATGTAATAAAAACACACACACAAAAAGCCAAATGATTTCTTCATTTAAGCCTATGAGATTGGGATATGTTAGCAAATTCTGGCCAAGACTGAACGTTTTGGTAGGACCTTTTGGTATTTGGTAAAATATCCTTTTTTAAAATTAAGTACTTCATTTTTGAAACATATATCCTATAAATAGAAATGAACTCATATGTAAAAATATGTGTGCATGGCAGTAACAGACACTGCTAACTGGAACAAACCAGGATGTTTATTACTGATGTTTATTACATCATTCAGTAGCTCATAGGTTAGTCATAACTATTTGTTTTCTCGAAGTTGATATTAACAAGCTTAATTCAGATTTTTAGTTTTTAATGAGCCTTTCTTTTTGTGATATGTAAATAATTTTGGACGCTCTTGGCTGGACTTCTAGTCTAAATTAGAGATTCTGCTGTTCACTTTGGTAACTAGAAGCCCTAGAGAAGTAAACTTTTAGTAGGTGTGAATAATTAGGAATTTTTCTTTCTAGTATTTGCTTTGTTTAGTTTACAGCTGCTTTGGGAAGTAGTACATTTTGCTTCATTGTTCTAAACATATTTTGACCTTTCATAGCTGTACCTGTTGAGATTTGCCAGAAAATTTTTCTAAGTGAGGGACCCCCAAAAAAGAAAAAAGCCTGCCTCAGTTGTGTTAAGGAAGACTTCTTCTGTCTTACAAAAATAAAAATTGTCTGTTCTCTTTCTTGAATATATCTGCTTATACAGCATCTGCCATATCACCTTTTTGCCTACTAATTTTATCCCCTGGTTGTCATGGTGTATGGTGAGGAAGGAAGCACAACTTGGCCTGACTTTTTTTAAACTTAGTGTTTATGTATATTTCAAGCTTTTGAGCCCTGGGTCATCATCTTTCAGATAATTTTGTCTGAACAGCAAATGAAAACCACATAACTTTTTATAAGGAAAAATTTAGCAAACAAATTTCAGATAACAGGACTTTTCTCAGAACTCACTTGTGTAGATGAAACTGTCTCGGAGTAAACTCAGAATTCTACCAACTGTGCAAAGTTTGTGCTGTTACAGTACTCTTCATACTGTTACAAAGCACAGATAGACAGAAACTGCAAGATTGTTATGACCTTGACTCTCAAGTGTTATAAACAGTACTCCTGTTAATCTACAGACTTAATGTTGCTTGAGACTATCTATACACAGAAATCTTAAATAAGTAATTGTTTTCTCTCTTAGCCTCAAAGCCGATATCAAGTTTATTGAGAAAATACTTGAAATGTTATGTTTAAGCCCAAAATACCCAGTCATCACTTTCAACATGTGACACAAACCCCAAAATGATTCACAAATTTAATCATGTAGCACTGAGTTTTAATGAATTGAGTTGCAAAAGCAATGAGCAAATGCAAACATTGGTCTCTGAAAGGACTAATATTCATAATCCATAAAGAGCCTTTCATAAGTAATTAAGGAAGTGGTCCGTGGCACAATACAAAACTAAGTGAAAGAAATAAAATTGATCATAAGAGAAATGCAGATTCCGTGGTGTTGCTTGGACTGCAAATTGAGTAATAACTTCTCCAAATATCTAACAAAATGACGAGATGGAGAAACCTTCTGATTTGACAGTTTCTCTGGTCTATCCTTCAGATGTGATTTGGAGGTTTGCAAAAAAAGTACGGGGTGAGTTGCTCCCATCCTGTTTTTTTTTAACCACAACAGATTGAAATATCCTGTGTGTCTATCAGTGTGGGGTCATAAGATAATGCTAAACAGCTGATTGATAGATGTGGATGGTAAGGTACATACAGGTGAAAAATTAAACACATATTTCCGTTATCTCTAACAGAGGTACAGAAGAGAAATAAGTTTGCTTATGGCATTTCTGGAACATATGGTCAGAACTCTCACCATTAGATGCCTTTGGGAAGAGGAGCGGAGTAGCTAGAAGTCAGGTCTATACTATAATCTTCTGTAGTATATATATATACACTCCTCTAAAGCAGCAGTGTATTTTGAAATCTTGGAGTTTAAAGTTTAAATTATCTGTGTCTTACTGGTGATAATTATCACCAGCATAACCGTTTTTATTATGTGATCTAGAAACACTTTAACATTTTAAAATTGGATCCTTTTGTTTCAGGATCTCCAGCAGAACTGTCTCCTACTACTCTTTCCCCAGTTAATCACAGCTTGGGTAAGTGGCAAATTGCTTTTTACTCTATCATTCTTATACCATATCACACACAAAATTATTTCCTATCTAAATAAGAAAAGAGTACCAGGGAATAGTCAAGTAATTATGCAAATGATGTAAATTAGTGCTTTTAATTAGAAACGCAGTTTATTTGAGAGACAGAGAAAGAGAGCTCCAGTCCTCTGGTTCATTCCCTTGGTGCCTGTAATGGCTGTGGCTGGGCCAAACCAAAACAGGGAGCTGGAAACTTTTTTTTTTTAAAGATTTATTTATTTTTATTGGAAAGGCAGATATATAGAGAGGAGGTGCAGAGAGAAAGATCTTCCATCCGCTGGTTCACTCCACAAGTGACTGCCAACAGCCAGAGCCAAGCTGATCCAAAGTCAGGAGCTTATTCCAGGTCTCCCACGCAGGTGCAGGGTCCCAAGGTGCCACCACTGCTGCCTCCCAGAGTTCAAGTAAGTAGGAATCCAGAATCAGGAGCCCCAGGTGTGTTATTCCCAGACACTGATATGAGATATAGATATCTAAACATGTGGCTTAACTGCTAGGTCCAGCACCCACCCCTAAATTAGTGCTCTTTTAAAACAGATATTCTCATTCTTTCGTTTCTCTCTCTCTCTCTCTCCTCTCTCTCTCTCTCTCTCTCTCTCTCTCAGGTTGTTGTTTACATAGTCTATCAGGGTGTGAAGGATCTAAGGTTAGGGTGGTTATGATTGTTTTCAACTTTCTATTTCTTCTTCCCATTTTTGGGGGGAAGTGGGGGGGGCAGGGGAGAGGCCACACCCAGCCTCCCAACCATTCCAGTACCCAAGGATGGGAAAGGGCCACCTGATATCAACCCAGAGTCACAGTGGCACATATTCTGAAGGTTCTGCCCAGGTGGATGCGATAGTTTCGCAATGCTGTTGATCTTGCCAGTCTATGGATGAGGAATCCTTTCCAGTGTCCATTGTCTGACACCATCGACCTTATGGTCTTCAATTGCCCTGATATTTGCTGTCATTGTTTGGGGTAGTAGCCCATATGTTCTGTTCTCCATTTTCTGCTATGGTAACAGATGTCCTCTGCAGGCCCAAATGAGTTACCATGTTCTCCATGTGCACCATGGTCTGTCATCTAGTACTCCATCCTCTACACTAAGAAAGACCAGTTCTCCTAGGTTGGCTCATGGATCTGAGCTATGCAACCCAGGACCTGCCAGATCCCCCACCATTCAGGCAAGCTTGGTGACCTGGACCTGGAGACCCAGGCCCCTGCAGGCTCCCTACTCCTGGGGCTCATGGATCTTAACACCTACCACACAGGTGGATCCAAGGACCTGGGCCAGGAAACCCAGACTCTGTTGAACCCCTCAGCCTCGGGACTCATGGACCCAAAACCCATATGTAGGTAGGCCCTGGGACCTGGGCCAGGAGACCCAGGACCAAGCCAGACCTTCTACCCACAGGGCTCATGGATCCGACACCAACCATGTGGGTGGGCCCTAGAACCTGGACCAGGTCCTCTTGGTCCCCCACCCCTGGGGCTCACCAACTTGCCACCCACCACCTCAGACTGACATGGCTTGTCTTTCCTTGGCATTTACCAGTGGGTACTTCAGCTTCAGAGTCAGCCCCCAGACCTGGCTTGAGTATGAACTGGCTGGTGCTATGGCCCTACTCGGCCCCTCCTATATTGCATCCTAGTTCTCGGATTTGCCAGTGGATGTTATGAACTGGCCCAGCCTGGCCCACCCCCTGGCCTAACCCACATGTATGGCGGAGTATGATGTAACCTGGTCTGGGTTGGGCTGCTCCTTGCCTTGGTTCTTGCAAGGGACAAAGAGGTTCATCAAACTCCTCTATCTGGTCTCCTCCCAGGGGCACATCTTACACATACTGGTGGGTCTCTGGCCCAGGATGACTTTGTCCACATGTTGTCCTGGCAGTGACAGTGTCCTTGCCCAATTGGCCCATACCCTTTCAGATTCCTTTAATATGGTTCAGTGGGATCTGAGAGCTAGCCAAGCCCATTCTACACCAACCCTGACTCTCACTAGTACCAGTGGTCCTGGAGTTTAGCCCAGCCTGGCCTTCCCTAGACCCAGGCGGCAGCCATGCTAAGGGAGATTGAAGCCATATTCAGCCCAGGACAATGCACCAATTCTGACACTCGCATTCACTGATGCGAATTCCAGCCCAGCTGGGGCATCCCCTTAGCTCCTCAGCCAGGCCTGTTCCCAGCCACAGTACTGCTGTGTGCCAGTGGATATTGCTGTTCTGTTGTGCTGGATTTTGAAATCCCCAGAAAATCATCAAGTCTGAAGTCGGTGCTAAGGTATAAAGGTGGTTCATTCAGGTTAACCTAGCAGCCTCAGCAGGGAGAGCAAAAGAGGAGAGAGAGCGAGCCCGAGCCCCTGGTTGAACAGCCCAACGGTTCTTATACATTTTAGGCTATTAATTATACAGTCATGATTTAGCAGGCTTCTATTGGTGGGTTTGAAGCAAGCAACTTTCAAAAAGTACAGATTGATGAGCTATAGGGCGGTGAATCTTATCAAACACCAGGTACCTCCTTCCTGAGGAGTGGTCTGCCTACATGACCTGCCAGGTGTCCTGCTGGGTGTCATGTAGACTATCAGGTCTGGAGTTCACACAGCCTCCAGCCAAGCCATAAAGGCAGGAATTACAAAAGGCAGAAAACATCTAGGTTCATCAGTTCCACATGGGTGAGCTCACATATTGCCCTGCAGTTTCTACCCCCAGAATGATTCACTCACATATTTGCCGACTTTATGGCCCAGCCTCATAGAACCTGTTCTGTTTTCTGGCACTGTTTGGTAGGTTCCGTGTTGTAGCCCTTCAGGTAGAGTGGCCTTGTCCATGGAAGTTCCAGAGAAGTCATTCCTCACCTGGACCTGAACCCTAAGTTCCTTCCTGATTCTTACCTGTGCCACATCTCAGACTCGTGTTAGCCCCACATCCCCCGGATCGTAGAGTACATTGCCAGGCAGACCGTGGGCTTCACCTGGGCACTGTTGGTGCGCAGGATGCACAGCTCAGGTCCTCCCAGCAGCCGCCAGCTTCAGACTCATGTGGGCTGCTACCTAAAGCAGATCTTCTTAAGGGCTGCTGGTGAGTCATGATGGGTAAAGTTACAGTCTGTCATGCCAGTATCTAGTATGCGATCAGATTCATGCCGTGGCTGTTCCACTTCCAATATAGCTCCCTGCTGATAGCCTAGGGAAAGGAGCAAAAGGTGACCCAAGTGTTTGGGCCCTTGCCAAACAAAGAGAGAAACAGCTGAAGTGCCTGGCTATTACGGCCACTTGGGAAATGAACTGGCTGATGGTGGATCCCTATCTAATACTTCCTTTAAAAAAAAAAAAATAAGGCAGTCTTTTGCCAGAGTCCAACTCCAGCCGAGTTCGGAACTTGAGAAGGGTGTGAGGAGTAGGCATAGAGAGAAAACAATTGGATTACTATGGTTTTGTGGTCATAATGGACAATGCAAGAAAGCTGTCCCCTTCATTTATACAGAACCAGTCACACACTCTGGCACAGACTTTGACATCATGGTCAAGTGGGTGTTTCCAAGGATAATTCTGTCATTTGTTTCACCTTAAAGCTCTCAATAGAAGTTCTCAATAGACAGTGCATATCAATCAGTAACACGTTCCTACTACTATTCTCATTCTGCAATTTTACCTTGAATCAGTTAAGGGAAGAAATGCATAACAAAAAAAGGTGGGAGCCTAAAGATCAAGGAAAAAGTGAAAGAAACCCTAAACATAGATCCCTTGTTAGCATAAGGTCGATGGGGGCAGCAGAGACAGACAGCAGGAATTGTAGAAGGTCCTTTTGCAAAATCAATTTCCAAGCTCACATTGATAGTAAACACCAACTTTGCAACAGCAAACAATGCCTGAGTGATCTGGTGTCAATGCAAAGGGAGGTGGAACTGCCTTCGGGTGGTTGCAGATACATCCACTGGGCCCTCCCATGCAGCGCAAATCCTTGTGGCCCTTCGTGTCCTCCCCATCGACTGCCCGGACCCCAGCAGTCTTTAAAAAAGTGAATGAATAAATAGATGCTATTTTGAGTCTGTATTAACAAACTCTTTATTGGTACTATGACTGCAAAAAATAATCCTTTTAGTTGTTGAAATTATATTTTCTTCATGAAAAAATGTATGACTTTTATATATGGGTTTGCATTATACTACACATTTATCAGTTACTACTGTAAGGTTTGTGTAAAAATCTCCACACATGTATAATGTGTATGTGGTTTAGAGCTATGGATAAACACACATATATGAGAGAATGTGTGTATGCATTCCTGTGGTTTATGTTTGGCTTCATGTAACCTGCTATTTTACAGTTTTTCTTCAGTTTATAGCAGTTTACTTTCAGTTATAAGGTTCTTTTTTTGTCATAATATTTGTGATAAATTTAAACTTGTGTGATCTTACTTTCTGAGAAAATAGTCTCATGATTGCTGTTCTGTTTAACCTATACACTTTTTGTGTTTTATTACTTTTTGGTTACTCTGTATAAATGGGTTTTCTAGTGTTGCACTTCACTGGGAATCTCATGAAAATACTCAAATATCAAAAATACTTTGTTTTTTTATTCCTTATTAACAGTTTATTTCTTGTGTAGTTTCAACTCAGTAATCTTCACTCCAGTTTTATTTTACTGTATTCTGTAAAAATTACCTTTACTGTGCTTTTTTAGAAATACACCAAGTAAAGTGAGTTCATGACTTGACCTATGTTAGTTTTCTGTTTAAACAAGAACTAAACTGAGGTTACTGGTGAAACAAATAATTCAACACAAAGTGACCTTATCAGATAAGAGAGATTGGGAAATTTGGAAATCTGGTATGGTCTGTCAAAATTGGTAAAATTTTACCTCTGTGCCAATGTGGACTGGCATAGTGAGTTGATGATATTTGTATCTTTTGGCTGGAATTGTTCACATCTGTTTCTTTTGTCTCCTTTTCCCTAGATTTACAGCCAGTTACTTATTCAGAACCTGCCTTTTGGTGTTCAATAGCATATTATGAATTAAACCAGAGGGTTGGAGAGACCTTCCATGCATCACAGCCTTCTCTTACGGTAGATGGCTTTACAGATCCATCCAACTCGGAGAGGTTCTGCTTAGGATTACTCTCTAATGTGAACCGAAATGCCACAGTAGAAATGACAAGAAGGCATATAGGTATGCTTATTTTCCTCCTGCAAAGAACTGACGTATAAAATCCCAGTCTTGTCTACCATTCCAGGTGCTGTCATGTCTAAGCTCCTAGGGTTTTTCTAGATCCTGGTGGTTCTTCAGTCTGCACTCTCTAACTTATATATGATCATTATTTGCCTCCCTTGATATTGAGGTCTTTAATGTGTAACAATAACCTTAGTTTTCTCTGTTTTTGCCTTTTAAAGTGGGTATGTTAAGATATTAGGGTCAGTCTTTACAGATCAAGGATTTCATGCCTCCAGCTTTCCTCTCTTTGTGAGTTCATAAATGTGCTGACATTTGATATTTAAAACTGAATAGCTAGAGCAAAAACTAGCATTTAATATTCCTGAAAGTATGATTCAAAGGGGTCTGAAAATGGAGTCTGGGAACATCTGGTAGTCCGAGAAACTCCTGCAAGCTTCTGAGGTCAAAACTGTCTTAATAAGGGTTCTAAAAGGATGTTTGTAATTTTGACTCTCATGCTTTAATAAGTACTGTAGATTATTTCAAAGGCAACATGGTGTATGGTTTTACAAGAGATGAAATGTAAATTTTATAGGAGATTCCAGCTCTCTCATGCTCCAACAGACACTAAAGAGATGAGCAAAAATGTGAAGCTTTATGACTTGCCTCCCTTTTTTTTACTTTGGAAATATGGTTGTTTTTCATAAACATTTGGGAATATATGTAATTATGTTATTACTTTTAAATGGATTGATACTTTAAAAAATACAGTTTTAATATGTAATGTGGGTTGTGTGAATTTCTGTAAATGTAACCCATATAAACAAGTGTTTTGGAGTCTCCATTTTTTTTTTAACAGTGAAGTAAGTTTGAGAGCCTCTAATGATGGAACCATCATTCTTATCCTTAAAATAACATGACAAAAGTTTATTTTCTTTGAGTTAATTATTTTACTCTTATTAAAGAATCAGTGAAAATGGAAAACATCTTTTTAGAACCCTTATTAGTTCTAATCTGATGCTAAAAAATAAGTGGTTGATACTCAAAGTGATAGAGATTAGGAGGTGTGTCACTGTTCCCCCTGTGTTGTATAAATGTGAATTATTTTGTCAAGGTACCTGAATGTCATTGTAGCTGAGAAAGTCCTCTGGGTACCTGTCTGCTCCTACGTTTACTGAACTGTGTTTTGAACACTTTCTGTACCCTATTCACTTCTTTCTATAAAATTTTGGATTGCTATTATTATCAGATCATTGTTTCAGTTTGTATTTTTAGTGTATTACGTAGTGTTGATCAGGGCATACAGCCTAAAAGAAAAATCTTGTTAGCCTTAATGTTTTTCTGATGGACAAGAACCTGATTGTTTACAAATGTTGCCAGTTTATGCATTTATTAAATTTGGATTGTTGGTTGTGTTACTGGTTTTCTTTTGCTACATAGAAAAGATTGTCCCACCTCCTCCACTTGCAGATTTGCTTCCTTAATGCCATCTGGACACTCCCTTACCAGCTGCACCTGGTGTCTGAGTAACAGGATGTGCAATGTGTGCTGGGCTGACTCTTAGAGGGCACTTTAGAGCCTGCGTCCTACAGAACTCCTTTTGCAAATTCTTACTTCTGATTTGTGTGTGTATATCTTTGAAATCTCAAATGCTGAACAAGGCAATCTCCTAGGATAATTTTTCCTACCTAATTCTGCTTATATGAGAGATTTGATTGCTGCCATAATGCAGAGTTCAAATAGGGTAAATGATACAGAAACTCTTCAAATCTTTTATTATCTTTTCTTCTTAATAGGGTCCTTAAGGAAAAACCATTTTAATGATATATGTGTCAAAGCATCAGCTAACCCCCTCAATTTCTTTGACTTACTTAAAAATAACATATAGTTAGTGTATGAAACTATTTTCCTATCCCTGTCCTTTTCTTGTTTAAATGGTTTCAGTGAGCATATAGCCAGGATTTTCAAGAAGTTCGTGGAAAATGTGTATTATAAAAGGTACATATGGATTTTAAGGTTTTATTTCACCAAAGGCAAATTTATCTTTTAATGAGTTTCCAGGAACTTTTTGAAGTACCTTCATATTGCTTTTACAAGTCAGTAAAATTGTTAGAAAATACCAGCGCAAATATACAGTGGTATGTTTCAAGATTAGTTGTCAGAACAACATAGCTGTGAAAAAAGATCATAGAAACAACTCATACTATTTTAAAATGTTGCCACAAAGACTTGCAAAGTCACAACGAAATGGTGTTATAAAACTAACCCTGTATGTATTTTGTTTTAGGAAGAGGAGTGCGCTTATATTACATAGGTGGGGAGGTTTTTGCTGAGTGCCTAAGTGATAGTGCAATCTTTGTGCAGAGCCCCAATTGTAATCAGAGATACGGCTGGCACCCTGCAACAGTGTGTAAAATTCCACCAGGTATGATTCAACCCCGTCAATAAACCTGTCACGTCAACTTGCCTTGTTTTTCTAGTTGTTAATGTTAGGAATCAGGAGATGATTTGCATGCTGATATTCTAAAATGTGTAGTTGTTTTAAAATTATTTTCTAGTAGAGATACTCTGTTTTCTTACTCAAAGTTTCTTATGTTTTTTCCCAATCATAGGCTGTAATCTGAAGATCTTCAATAACCAGGAGTTTGCTGCTCTTCTGGCACAGTCTGTTAATCAGGGTTTTGAAGCCGTGTATCAGCTAACTAGGATGTGCACCATAAGAATGAGTTTTGTGAAAGGGTGGGGAGCAGAATACAGGTATGAAACATATATTCAGATTTTAAGTTTCCATTCTTTGAATTTTTGGAGTTCTCATCTGTTTTCACCTAGGTAATGGAGTCAGCAGATTTTTGTAAAATAATGAAAGTAAATTAGCAGTCTTCAGAATCACAAGTATTGTAAATTACTCTTCTGACATTGTAGAAAATTTGGTTAACACAAATACACATGTTAACATCGTATGGATTATTGAGTGCCATGAAGGGAATGTATTAGATGTCAGTTCATGGGGAAAGAGGCATTGGTAGTTCCACTTCAGAGATGGCTTGCTGGTAGAGATAGCGCATTATCTCAGTCCAGATTCTGCAAGAAAAGTGAAAGATTTCTAGTAGTCACAGATCGGGTAGGAGGGACAGGAAATTATAACTCTGGCAATTCCAAAGCAGTTAGGTTTGGAGGATAGAAAGGAGAAAAATACAAGACTGGATAAATAAGCTGAGAACAGTTAAGTATTATAATTTGTCTTATCTAGAGTTTTAGTTCCCTATGCTAACGCAAGTTCTGAAAACAATAGATGAATTCCTGAAATTAAAATTATTAATGTGTTAATTGTTCTGTTTTACTATATTTTGAATTTTACTGCACCTAATTCATAAATTATATAGCCTAGGTGTGTTTGCACAAGAAGATCCTGGTGTGTATATTGTGTTCCATGTTATCCATGCCTTTGGGCATCTTTTAGATAAAGCATAATGGAATTGCTGTTTAAAGTTGAGCAGAGGAATGATTCAGGCGTAGAAGTGTACCTGGTACTGGGCCAAACACTGTGTTGAATATCGAGCTAAGAATGTCTCTGCTGTTAATCTTTGTTGAAAAGTTTAAAATAGATGCAGTTGCAGTTTTTGTGATTCACAAATTGTTTGGCTTATACGTATTTCGAAATTTGTCTAGAAATTTTTGATAATTTTGCCAAGGACAAATTGTAGGTTGTTGAGATGGCACTGGAAGGCAGTTTGATTCTTCATTTCTTCTCTAAGTATAGGATTAACAGTTACATTATTGGATTTTATAGAACTTAGTTTCATTTGTCATCAGCATATAAGATATTGCTGAATTAGATAATAAATTCCACGTCAGAGAGTGGGAAGAGTTCTTAGCATATTACAGGATAGAATTTAGGCCAGACACAAGTCTTTCTGTAGCTCATGCAAGTATTACTCTGTATGTCAGCTTAAGAAATACTCATATAATCGAGTCATTGCTTCCTGTTTTGTTACTTCAAAATTTGTTTGATTTGATTTGGACTTGGTTGCTTATTTTGAGTAAGTGTGAGGCATCTGATTTTCCCAAAGATTTATTTATTTATTTGAAAGTCAGTTAGTGGCTATTTTCTGATTCACTCCCTAAGTGGCCACAAGTGCCAGGTCTGAGCCAAACCTAGGAATTGGCATTTCATCCTAGTTTTCCATGTGGGTGGCAGAGACCCAAGTGCTTGAGCCATCCTCTGCTGCTCTTCCCAGACCTTAGCTTGGAACTGGATCAGGAGTGGAGCAGCTGGGAGTTGAACCAGTGCTCATATGGAATGCCAACAGCATAGGCAGCAGCTTTACTCGCCATGCCACGAAGATTGTCTCTAAGGCATTTGACTTTTGATGGTAAAATTTGAATTCTGCTGGTTGGATGTTTCTATAAATACAATGTATGTTACATATTTATATCCAAAAGTGAAGGCTTGTCACTTTTGCCTAAGTTATATTGGAGACTAATTAATTTTGTTGCTTTGCTGTAGTTTTTTTTTTTAATTATCATTTTGAGATGGATGTCTGAATGCCTTTTTAATTTGAACTTGAATTGACTTAAATCGACAAAAACTAGATCAGATGGTATTATCTGATAATTGTTTTAAGTCAGACTTCTTGAAAACATCAGCACCATGCAGAGTATAGTTGGAATTTAGTGGAATTGGGAAGAATTCCATGTATATCTATAGGTGGTCTGCAAGGAAAAGTTTTAATTGATGGAGAGAAAAGCTGTTATCCTTCCTTCAGTTTCTTCAATTCAGATAAATTGAAATCTCTTATAGAAGCAGCAATATATAGCATGTTATGGATATTTGGAGTCAGATACATGTGATTGTGATACTCAGCTTTCTGTTACATTTACAAATCAAACCCATGTGTCTGAGTTGTCAGGTAGGTACCAGGAACTTTTCTCTTTATAATGATGATAGAACAGAGTTGCACACAGACCTACAATGATTTTTTTGGTTTCTTTAATGCCAACTTATTTATTAGTGTATTTAAGAAATTTAGTGAATCGGGGATTTAGATGCCTTGAACAATTCATATCTCTCTCTCTCTTTTTTTTTTTTAAATTTGAAAGGCATACGGAAAGGCTTTCTATCTGCTGATTAACTCTCCAAACGTGCACAGCAACTACGACTGGGCCAGGCAAACACCAGGAGTAAGGTCTCCATCCTGATCTCCTATGTAGATCACAGGAACCCAAGTATTTAGACCAGCATTTGTTGCCTCTCAGGTGTATTGGGAAGAAGGTGAATGGAAAGCATGGAGCCAGAATCTTGTGGTGCAGGCATCCCAAGAGGCTGTTAAGCCACTGTACCACAAAGCTCGCCCCAAAATTCATTAAAAGTAGTTTGTTTGACTTTGAGGATCACCAGTTTATTTAAAATGAGATCTCCAAAGTTATTTATTAATTACTCCCATATTGATGTTCCTTAATTTAATCTTTCACACTTGCTTCTAACTTCAGCTCCTGCTGTTGCATGCTCCTGGGAGGCAGTAGTGATGAAGGCTCAGGTAACTGGGTTCCCACCTGGGAAACCTGATTTTTATTCCCAGCTCATGATGTCAGCCCTGGCATTAGCCCAGCTCCAGCTGTTGTGCACAGATGGAAGTATTCACTCTTTTTCTTTGTCTTGAGTAAAAATGAAAGAGAAAGAAACTAAATTTTAGTATATACAACCTTTTAATTTCTGTGACTTCTTACAGTAATACCAAAACCTAGTCAGGTCATTTTTTAAATTTGTAATTATTTTCTTCTACTCATTTAAACAGAAGACAGACAGTCACAAGTACTCCTTGCTGGATTGAGCTTCATCTGAATGGACCCCTGCAGTGGTTGGACAAAGTATTAACTCAGATGGGATCCCCATCGGTGCGCTGCTCCAGCATGTCCTAAAGCTTCCTCATCAATCAAGTCCCATGGAAAGAAGGACTCAGTGTAACACCTCTTCTATCATAGTATTTGTATATGGTCCCCGTGGACTGTTTTACTATCCAAAAGTTCAAGAGAGAAAACAGCACTTGAGGTCTCATCAGTTAAAAGCACCTTGTGGAATCTGTTTCCTATATTTGAATATTAGATGGGAAAATTAGTGTCTAGAAATACCTTCCCATAAAGGAGGAAGAGAAGATTTTAAAGACTTAATGCTGTCTTGTTGGGCATAAAACTGTGTGTCCCAAAGGTTTTATCAATAACAGTAGTTGTAATGTGTACAGGTAATGTATCATGACCCAGTATCACAGTATTGTGCTGTTTATACACATTTTTAATTTGCATAAATGAGGTGTGTGTGTGCTGCTTCTTGATCTAGGCAAGCCTTTATAAAGTTATAGTACCTGGTCTGTTATTCTCACTTATCCGTTATTTTTGTGTGTCTTTTTTAATATATAATATATATCAAGATTTTCAAATTATCATTTAGAAGCAGATTTTCCTTGTAGAAAAACTAATTTTTCTGCCTTTTACCAAAAATAAACTCTTGGGGGAAGAAAAGTGGATTAATTTTTGGAATCCTTGACCATAATGTGTTCAGTGGGGCTTAAATACTGACTCACTGTGTGTTTATTTACTGCTAAGGTTCATTAATAAGGAAACCATACTGAAAACATTTCCACACCTCTTATCTCTGTCCCCACTTTTGTTCTGATACCAAAACAGTGTAGCATGACGTCATTGCCAGTAATACTGCACTGGCAGAACAAGGTAATTCTGGAGTGCAGTGTGAAGTTTCTGTGGATTAACTCCCTTTGCCTTAAAGCCAAATTGCACCAGATAGCAATTGACTTGTATAATCTAGTAATTTCGGGAATTATCTTTTCACCTCATTGAAAAATGTACAATTAGCTGTAAAATTATTTTCAGGGATATAGAATTGCTTCATTATATTTATCCTTGTTTAAAAATCTGATCTATAAACATAAGTACTCCTTTTGCAAAGATATTATGAAGTAGTTCAACAGCAGACCTTGTGGTCTGAGTAGTTTCATTGGATTTAGTTACCAGATTGTATTCTAAATCTTTGTAAATGTGACTGCGTCTGTGAAATACCTAGAGAAGCAGTGCTAAGCAGATGAGGACCAGCAAGTAGGTGGGATTCAGTTTATAAATTAAATGTCATTTTACATCATTGTGAATTCAGGGTTTTAGAAATTGGAGAACTTGTTTGGCAACTTTTTTAGCTTAAAATTGTGTGTAGTGTGAGCTGTTCTTGGACATGTGGTTGGCCACCATGATGCTGCCTGGAGGAGAGAGACCAGCTGTGGCGGTGGCCCCTTCTGCAGCGAACTGTGCCCCTCTCTCCTGTTGACTCATCGCAATGTAAACATTTCTTTCTCATCTCAATGAAAATGGAAAATAACCACTCCTGGTCCCCTTTTCATAAATTTTCATATTTTTAAACGTATTTTTGGTACTTGTTCTTTAAAACCATATTCATTATCTGTGTAGATAATGTCATTTTTTATACCTTCCGCATTTGGTGGTTTTCTATTGGATACTCTCCATTTTTCTATATTTGTGTATATATGTAAGTGTTCTTGTAAATTTGGTATGGTAATTTTAGTTCATTCCACAAATATTTATTGTTTGCCTATTATATGTCAGAGGCTTTCTTAGATCTTTTATATATTGGGTAAGTAAGTGTGAGCAAGGCGGTTAAGGTCTCTGCCTTTACTGAGATAGCAGTTATTCTAACCCTTGTGAAGCAGATAAACAGGGTGCTGTGCTGGAGAATAACAGATGGTTTGCTTTGGGTCAAACATCTGGGGAAACCTTTGGATGGAAGTGATACTTGAATAACACTAAGAAGCGAGCAAGCCTGGTGAAGAGCCAGGGGGAATAGGCATTCCTGGTGAAGAGTACAGCATCTCATCCAAAGACTCACTCTGAGTAAAACTCACTATTAGATGTTAATGCTCTGCATTAACCCACATTTGAAGATCAGAATAGTTTTGCAGTTTCTATATTCTATTGATGGTTGCCTTACTTTGTGATTGACTGCTTTGTGTCGTTTCTATGAATATATCTTCCTCAAACCTTTGGTGTTAAATTTTTTTCTTTATGCTAGGTCAGCACCACTTAATTTAGCAGCCCTTTCTTGTGCACATTTCCCACTGTTGTACTGTTTGCTTGCCTCTATTGGCCCATCTTGTGTTTGGAGTCGGTGTCAGTTACTACTGTCAGGCCTGCTGGGGATAATCAGTGGTGTTTCCCCTCTTTGAAAGTTTTTATTAGGAACTTTGAGTGATGTTGGTAATCATGGCTGGATAGAAAACAGTTTTGAAAGTGGCAGAAGGTTCTGGCAGTTACTCTGACATTGACATATTAAGGAAAGCAGTGCCAGCAGTGGCACTGGGTAATGTAACACCTCCATAACTCCGGTAGGTTTTTTCTGTACAATAGGAAACAGACTTAACTCTGAAAATTGAACAGATATACCTGTTAAGCACCTGACTTCATCATATGGATTATATTTATGTGAATCTGTTTCGTGATCATATTTGCTTTTTAATGAGGTACTTTCTTTCCGGTTATGGTTTTTGCCTACTGTGATCTAATTCGGTATTTTTCCTTTCTAGGGGTGCTGTTTAAATTTGAATGGATAGATTCCTCTGTTGAATTTTGTCATTGTTTTAAATTAGCAGCATTAAGCATTTATCTTATTAATATGGCTCTCAGTTTTATGACTTGAGAATAGAGCAGCCAGACTTCCCACCACGGTTCTAAAATGAATATTTATCTTTCCAATAGGTTTCTTGGAGAAAGTGTGGGGCTGGCTTAGGGGCTTGGAGCATGAGGAAGTTCCCCACTGACTTTGGTTTGACTGGTAACAGCCTGAGTTTTATACTACATTGGGATTCTACACAAGACTTCTTTTGGAAGGGGAATGCTTCATACCTTTTTATGAATACTAGTTGAGATAAGAATAAATGAATTTGGGACACGCTTTGGAATACCACTGGCTGTGACATGTTCCTGACTGTTGGAATTGCTTCATCATCCTGATTACACATGGTGCTCTCATTTAGCCAGTGGACATGCATCAATGCCTGTTTGCCTAGCCACTGTGATAAATGTTGAATAATAGAAGATGACCACAGCTGTGGTCCTCAGGCTGTACCTGATTTTATGGGGCTTATTTCTCTCAGGAGCTGTGCCTGTTCCAGGAAGACTTCAGTTTGGTTTTTCTTGAAGACCAAGTATTCTGAATCGGCACTCTTCTACATTCTTAGGTATACATTTGTAAGTTGTTCAACATCTCAGTTTGTATTTTCTACATTAAATTGCATCCAGATGTGCTAGATACATTTGTCTTAATACATTGTCATATTCTCCTGTTTTGTTAAAATTGTTTCAATTTTACTTTGCTTTTGTGCATTTTTGTTAGTTTCCCCGAGACTGACTTTGATGGTAAAAACAGTTTGGTTTCTTCTGGCTGATCAAGTGTCAGAGTACATGCCCAGTTAGTTTCTCTGCCTCCTCCAGAAGCTGCTTATGTGTACCTCTGAGAAATCTTTGTTTTCATTACTAATACTTTGAACATTGATTCAAATTCAGGCATCCTCTTGGTTTCAAGATTGAGGAAGTTGATGTTGGGATATAAAGTAACACACGACAGTGTTGAAATCTGTCTTATGTGTGCTCTTTGTTTTGAAAGCTGAACATTAAGTAATCTGTGTACATGACCAGTGAATGATTTTTTTTTTTCTTCCCCTGGTCTAAAGCAGTGATGTTTTGACACCAAATTATTGTTAGGTTTTTTCTTCTCAGTGTGTTTTATTAAATCTTGAATATTCATCAGCTGCATTTTGTTCTTCCTGTTTTCTAGTTACTGATAGCCAAGTGGTCCTTACTGTTGCTCCTGTGTACGTCAGCCATGTTTTATGTGCATATGTCAGAGTGTTTTCTGGCCTTGGAATTTTAGTGTGAACCAAAAGGGGAGGTGCTCTTCATAGCCATTGTTCTGGGATCTTCACTATGAAGGTTGATAGTATTCAAGTTGGTCAGTCTCTTACACGTGGCTTAGTTTTGTCTAGTTGGATGTCTTTATGACTGGTTGATTGCATAAACGAATAGATTCTATTTTAAGATTATCAAAAATCTCTGGTAGTTATTGCCAGTGTTCTCACTGTAATACCAGCCCAAACTTAGTGTTTATTGTGTTTTGAACAGTCAGTAGAAATAATGTCAGTGTGGTCTCCAGAGACAAAAGATTTCTGCTCTTTTATGTCTTCATTTTTAAGTTTTTGTGACTATTTTGTCTCTTCAGACTGTATGTTAGGATTGAGGGGCAAATTATCTCCTGGAGTAGAATCCCTGTGTTGAGCCTTACCACTAAAAAGCAGGAGCTGCAGTCTCCTGATAGCCTTTATGGTAAGAACTTGTGTCATGGGTTCTTGTAATCAGTTTAGTTTGGGATATTATAGCTGATTGTAAATATAACAGAAATGCTCCTACTTTTACAATATATAGTATACTGTGTGTGTGTGTAAATATTTATATGCACATACATACATAAAGTGTTAGATACGTCTGTTGTTTAAATCTCGGATGTCTGTAAAAAGCCCTTAATTTGCTTGCAGACATTGTCCTGTCATTGAAAGACCATCAGAGTGATTTTCTTTATTCTGTCAGAGTCCTGATTTGGCAGTTGAGTTAGCACTGCATTTTTAGGCAGTGTGACAACTAAGAATCATAATTGAAATTTATAACATCAAGCAGAGCTCTGCCATAGACTCCTTCCTGAATTATCATACATGCATGGTTGTCTGGACTGTGCTTAGGGTTCATACTTTTTCCTTTTTATTTATTTTATAATATTAGGTGGTTTTCTTTGTACCCCTCTTCCCTGCCAGTGTAGTACTGCTGCTTAATACTGGGAAGTACCTCTTTAAGTTGTTGTATCTAAAGATAGCCTTACAGTGGTCCAGACCTGATTTTCATAACTGTGCTCAATGGAAATGGGTTTTCCAAGACCCATGGGCTGCCTGTGACCCACAGAGTATCTGGCCAGAGTTGAATGACCTGAGCTAACCTCATTGTCAGTTGATTTGTTGCCATGAAGGCTGTAATGAACCACCTTCACCCCCAATCTCTCTTTTTTTTCTTAAAGATTTATTTTTATTATTTTTCATTGGAAAGGCGGATATACAGAGAGGAGAGACAGAGAGGAAGGTCTTCCGTCTGATGATTCACTCCCCAAGTGAGCGCAACGGCCGATGCTATGCGATCCGAAGCTAGGAGACTCTTCCGGGTCTCCCATGCGGGTGCAGGGTCCCAAAGCTTTGGGCTGTCCTCGACTGCTCTCCCAGGCCACAGGCAGGAAGCTGGAAGGGAAGCAGGGCTGCCGGGATAGAACCGGCGCTCATATGGGTTCCCGGGCGTGCAAGGTGAGGACCTTAACCACTTGCACCACCGCGCTGGGCCCCCCAATCTCTCTTAAGATGCAAGGACCCCTTAGAAGTACATCAGTAGTTGCTGGTTTTGGAGAAGAGAAGGAATCATTGCTTCTACTAAGAAAACTTTTTTGATCAGAACATTTTAAGAAAAATGAACAAAGAGCTTTTTAGTTTCTTCAGAATTTACCGTTTGCTCCTTTGGACAAGGGGATAGGGACTTAACTGCAATTTATAGTTAAAAGATAAGTTATTGAACAATGAAATTGATTACATAGAGATTTAAGAACAAAGGTGAACTTTTAAAAATCACATGTGTTTTCTCTCAATTGAGTGTTTTTTCTTCCTTTTTAAAGTTTTTGGCTATTTTACAATGTTAGTCACTAGGTAATTTGCCATATTTTTAGTTCTATATTAAGTTCTGCCCTTTACAATACTGGAGCATAAAGTTAGTTTTCAACATTTGTCTATAGAAAAGAAGTGTCGTTAAAGTGTCCATTTTCCCAGTGAGATTTTACTTTTTCTCTAATAAAATTTTTTTTATTAGAGGAAAAATTATTTCCGTAAGAAAATGTCTGTACCACTCATTGTTTACGTTCTTGGATAGTTCAAACAGAATTAACATTCTTAGATTGCTCAAACAAAAAAAAATTGGTGAGAAATAATTAAAATCCTTTTCTGGTGAACATATATCCCTGCTTTGAGACTATAATCTTTTGCCTGTTTATATAACCAATACACAGCATATGTGTTTAATTTTAGTCGGGGAGAAATGATTGCCATGTGCAACAGTTGGTAGCCTATATAAATTACATCTTCTGGTTTTTTTAAAAAAAATTATTTGGTGCCACAATGCAAAGCCCAAGTTGATCATTTCTTTTTTTTTTTTCCTTCCTAACACTTAAAATAACACTTTATTTAAACACATTTGAAATTAAATAGAAAATTCCAGTATAAAATGCTGAGATCTAAAGATATGATATGATTTGGTAAATGTGGTACTAAATTAAATATACTGTGATCCTTAAGATTGAATTCTCTATGATCTTTTTAAAAACTGTTTAAATATATTTTTTCTTTAATTTTAATAATCTTTACATGTTGATTAGGGCACCAAGGGTGAAGGGTTACAGGAAAGTGGGTAAAACCATTGTTTCCACATATTTTTTTGTGTGTATCTGGAGTAAGGAGGGAAATAAAGAGAAAAGCCTCACCCAACCTCCCACCCCATCCCCAGGGTCCCTGACTTGGGGCTTGCTCCAAGGGCACTGCTCACGTGGTTTCAATAGTTCAGCAGTTCTGAATTGCTGCCAATCTCAGCATTCCAAGCATGATGAAATCTCCAGAATCCACTGGCCAAATTGGTCATTTCTTAGACCACCTTGAACTCCTGCTTCGTGTTTACTTTGGTGATGCTTTTAATGTATAAACATTTTTGTTTTTATGAGTGACAGTGTGAACTTGATACGGTAACCATTTTATGTAAGAGGGTATGTCAAGAAAAGCTAGAGATGAAAATGAAAGAAAGCAGTTCTGTATTTGAACTGGACCACAACATTGCAGGCAAAATTAAAATGTTCCTATCTGAGAATTACTTTTTTTCCCCAAGGGCAGATCTTCTAGTTGAACACAGTGAAAAATGATGTAATTCTGGGCCTTTGTAATCTGAGGGAACTGTCTCCAGCTGGCAGTCTCTTCAATATATGAAGCAAGAATGTGGGAAATGGCTGGCATGGAATACTTTCAACCTAAAAAAAGAATATGAAAAAGGATCCAGAACTGGATTGTTCCTTCAACTCTTAAAAAATCTCAAGAAGATAGGATAAAATGCTCTTTTATAAATGGATAAAGCCAGAAGAACCTGTAGAACACTTGTCTTATAAAAGCAGGTTTCAGGAATAGATTCTGCACACTGCTCAATAAATGTTACCACCAACTATCTGTAAAATTAATTTCTTTAAATAAAAAGATTTCTGCCCTTCTAATCTCTGAGCAAGCTCAGGCAACCCTCAAGGCATTAATAAATAGCATATTTTAGGGGCCAGTGCCTTCAAAACTTGCTCTTGGAAATCCTTGTTCTTTCCTGGTATCCTTAGGGTGACCAACTGCCCTGGGCAGGTTTCCAGGTGCAGAACTTTGCTAAACTCAGGCCTGTTGCATGCACTCCAGGAAGTTTATCTTCTTAGATGGACTTCTGGTTGCTTTTCAGCTGCCCTGTGGCTAACTATTCTAGCTGTTACTGAGTCTGCTATGAATTTGTAGTAAATACTAGCTAAAGGCACCACATAGGAGTAACTGGTCAGCAGAAGTGATGTGCTTTAAAAGGAAGAAAAGAGGTAATTAGGTAAGTTTTTCAGAACCTGTGTGTAAATGGGGTCCTTATGGGGTTGAATTTTAATGTTTTTCACAATTAAGGAAAACTCAATATGATTGTAGATTTCTTGTCTTGTACGTTTTCCAGTCTGTTCTGCTCAAGCCAGAGTGTGGTACACTTTATTTTTGGTGAGTGTTGATTGAAATTAGTGCATCAGCCAATGACAAGCAGAAGAGGACTTCCAATTCCTCATACAGAGTGAATGGTGACTGTCAGTTCTGACAGGCACCTTAATCCTATGTCAGGCAAGCTCTTGGGTCACGCAGCAATGATGGGATAGGCACTGTGACGGCTGCGGTCTCTATTCTTGTTTTCTCTCAGGCTGTACCTTTAGCATGGTGTTGAGATGTTAGCTGTGTTCCTGGGAAGCCTTCAACCGATGCTTGTCAACAGCAAGATGTGGCTCCTCTGTATTGTTAAACAGTGAGCTGACAAGCTCTATGACAGCTGGTTCTTGACTTAAAATTGTGAAATACTGATTTCCTCCCACCCACACCAAATAAATTTAGTCTATTTAAAGTACAAACAAAACAAAGCAAAAAAGCCAAGAAAACATTGCTTAAGTGTGCTGTGCTTCCTGCTCAGATTTGGTACATTTTGTGCACATCTGTGTATAATTTCCCTCTTACGTTGTGTGCTTTCTACGTCTGCTAATAGTACCATCACTAGTGACAGGTGGATGGTCTTCCTAGCATTAAAAGAGGAGCCATTGGAATTGATTAATTCATGTTATTTTGGAACTAATTTTTAACAATTTTACTTAAACTGATTTTAATTCCTTACCAACAGAAAACAAATATGTTGTGTGTACTCCACATAGAGAAATATGTTCATAAGAATGCATTGTCCTTTTCAAACTCTGTGTTAAAATAGATTACTCCCACTCCTCTGGAGTAGACACAATTTAATATACAACCTTCTAGCCCTCACCAAGACAGTGTTAAGACACATTAAAGTTATTCGTTGCTTGTCTAATGGACAAGATCTATTTTATAAAAGCAAAACAAATTAGAAGGTAAAATTCAAGTTTACACTAGAAGTATACTTTTATCATGAAATAAAAGGTTTTTTTTAAAAGGCTAATGAAAAATACCAGAAAAAACATAATCATAGTTCTGTCTTCCTAAAATAATTTTAAAATTTGAGAAACCTTAGATCAGACAGGCTTTCTTGTTGCCTTAGAAGAGCTTAATTCTTTGAATGGATTGGTCATTTTCTGATGAGCCGACTGCTTTCTTCAAATCATTTTAAACAAACATGCTATAGGGCACCACGAAAGTAGACCTTGAAAACTCAAATGCACTACTTGGCTCATGGTCTAGCAACCTTATCAGTCTTTTTTTAATGAGGAGGTAACCAAAGTGGGTTTACTACTTACATTTGATAACCTACAACTATATAAACAGTTTGAAAGGAATCTTCCAGCATTAAAGTCCAACATCCTTGGAGATGACAGATGCCTGGAGCTCCTTGATGTTTCCTAGCAGTACTTGCTGCTGATTTGCTTGTTATATAGCAATGCTTACTTTCATGAAATAGTTTTGTAGTAGCTTACCATATAGCGGCTCTGTTATCTTCATTGAAGCTTTCATAGTGGCCCCAGTGTCTCATTCCACATGCTCAGACGTGACTGAAGGCGCAAGTATATGGGATAATTTGGGCTGTGTAACCAATTGACAAATCTTTTTGTTTCCATTTGCTTTAAACTATTTTCAGAGCCCCTATTGGAAAAGGCAGGCATTTTTGTATAAAACTGCTGTAATCCAGTGCTGTTTTAAACACTAGGTTCCTTTGGTACTCAAGATATTTGCGCTGCGAAGTTTTTCAGCTTCCTTCTTGATGTATCATCAGAACATGAAATGAGCCTAACCTAAAAGTTCGCAAATCTGATGAGAAACACAATTAGCCAATGCAAATACATAGAACTACCTTTTGTTGTAAAATCTGATATTGAAAATGTGAACCTCCTTTAACTCTTGTGTGTCATGCTAGTTGGTAAATGTTTGGCTTAGATTCATAAAATCAGCCCTGTTGATAGAAGACAGGAGTATTGAGCTAGATAAGAGTATTAAATTAGGTTACAAGGTATGATATAAGAAGTATACTTT